ACTGTAGAGATGAGGTCTTGCCAAGTTGCCCAGGAGGGTCTCGAACCCGCAGGCTCAGGCAATCCACTCACCTCGGCCTCCCAAAGTGCTGGGATTACAGGCTGAGCCACCGAGCCCGGCCTTTGTGTATGTTTTTAAGGGACCCCTGGCATGCTAGAAGGTTCCTTTAGGTCTTTTCATGTATTGTCAAAATTGGCAAGAGGAAAGAGTTAAATGGAAGAACTAGTCCTAGAGGAACTAGTTTGAGCAGATCTTGTTTTACAAATGGCCACTATAGTTTTACATCATATTTGCTAAAAACGATGTCAACAAGACAAGAAACTGCCAGAGAGAGTGCATGTAGTTAGCAAGGGTTTAAGGAGAGAGGAGTTCAGTTGATTGAGAAGCTTTTATAGAGAGAACAGAGGCCTCAAATAAATGTGTGTATACATGTATAACTTAAATATCAGTTTTAATTAAGTGGACTTTTAACTATAGAACTCTTAAAATAGTTTTATCAGTGAATAGCAAACATTCCTGGCTTGGCTTTTTCTTTTTAAAATTTACACCAATTAGGAACTTGGCAGATAGGCATACATATTTATTAGATTGTCATGGGTAATCACTACTTAAAGCTTAGCAAACAGCTATTAACTTTTAAAAAAAGCTTTTTATTAGCTGTTTCTTTCTGAGTATGTGGTTTCATTTAGACTAGGGTTTAAGGCTTAATAGACAAAACAAAAGACAATCCTATCACATTCTAAACATAAACCAAAATTTTATATCATAGGTATACCTGAATAGATGATTCAAAACCAACACACACACACACACACACACACACACACACACACACACACACACACACACACACACACACAATGCAGGAAATCAAAACCAAGAAGTCCTTTATGGCTTTAACCAAGGTATCCAAAGAAGAAGCAAAATGTTGCAGTCCTTCTGTGAATCAGACCCTTTCTAAGAATAGCTAAAAGAGAGTTTGACTGGCTGTAAATGGGGTGCAAACCATATTTATGGACCACATTTTCTTATGTCTTATCCTCTTATCTAACTGTCTACCCACAAAGTCCTGACAGAAGATAAAAAGACACAGTTGATTAAAACACAAACAAAAGCTGGGTTTTTTTTTGTTTGTTTTCTGTTTTCATTTTTATGATTTTTTTTGAGTTGGGGGTTTCTGTCTGTTCCCGAGGCTAGAGTGCAGTGGTTTACAGGAGCCTTGACCTTCTGTGTTCTGGTAATTCTTTCTTAGTCTCCCAAGTAGCTGGGACTAGAGGTGTGCACTACCACACTCAGCTAATTTTTTTATTTTTGTAGAGACAAGATCTCACTATATTGCCTAGGGTGGTCTTGAACTCCTGGGCTGAACTAAATCCTCCTGCTTTGACTTCCCAAAGTGCTGGGATTACAGGTGTGAGCCACCATGCCTGGCAGACAAAAGCTGTTTATGAGGGTAGGAAATATTAAAAGTGTTATTTCCTAACTTGGAAGTCAAAATAATTTAGAACAGTTAACTGAGATGACAGTAATGATAACAATATGTCAGTTATAGGACTGGATGAATTATTGGTTCATCTGGTAGGCTTGTCAACATTTAGGTTCTATAACAAATTAAATGTATATTTTTCTATTTACTTTGCAAGACTGTTCAATTGCTCTCCATTACTTAATGCCTAAAATCTCCTAATTCTCAGTGATACCTTCCTGGGACCCTCTAAACTTAACAATCCTTAGTCTTATGCCCGATTGTCCTTCCATTTATTTTTTCTGGTGTAAACCACAAATAAGTTCCACTTGTGTGTTTCCTTTTATGTGTTGGCCATGGAACACTTGACCTCTATGTGAATTCTTCCCCCCCCCACCTTTTTTAGAGACAGTCTCACTAGTCACCCAGGCTGGTGGGCAGAGCCATGATCGTAGCTTACTGTAACTTCAAACTTCTAGGCTTAAGTGATCTGCCTGTCCCAGCCTCCTGAGTAGCTAGTACTACAAGTGTGTGCCACCATGCTTGGCAGATGTTTATTTTTTATAGAGGTGGTGTTTCTCTATCTTGCCCAGGCTGGTCTTGAACTCCTGGTCTCAAGCAATCCTTCCATCTCAGCCTCTCAAATAGTTGGGACTATAGGTGAGTCACCGTGCCCAGCCTGGACTAAGCATTTGTAAAAAAATATTGGAACACGGTCAAGTGTAAATTGTTTATAACATAAATATTAAACTATAATTATCTGTTGAGTATAAAACAGTTTAGGTAATATTTTATTCAATGACCTCAAAGGATATTAGAAAAATGAAATTTTTACAGCCTGACCAGGTTGTTATGCCCACTGCCCAGAAAAGCCAAGATTCAGACAGCAGCTGTTACAGTAGAGAAAGTTTAATGTCACAAAGAAGCTGAGTGAGCAGGGTAGATGATTTTTCTCAAGTCTGCCTCTTTGAGAATTAGAGGACAGGGTTTCAAAGGGTGTTTTGGTGAGGGGGGAGGGGATAGGGAATTGGGACTACAGATTGATTGGAAATAAAATCACAGAGGTGTTGAGATAGTACATGCAGCAAGTTTGTGCAGAATTCAGCATCTGAAAAAATCTTAAATATAGGTCCTAGGTTTATGTTATGGGAGTAATTGGGGATGTTACAAATCTTGTGAACAGTGGTGGCAGGGGGAAGAATCTCTAGTGATCTAAGCTACTTACGCCTTTCAGCTGACTAAACTTGTGGATACTCTCAAGGAGATTGGCATAATCTATGGCTCATTGTTCTTCAAGAGAAAAACAAGTTTGTTAATTTTTTTTTTTTTTTGAGTTCTAGTCTCAATCTGTTGCCTAGGTTGGAGCGCAGTGGCATGCTTACGGTTACGCAGCCTCGAACTGCTGGGCTCAGATGATCCTTCCACCTCAGCCTTCCATGCAGCTGGAACTAGAAGCATGTGCCACCATACCCAGCTAATTTTTTGATTTATTGTAGAGATGAGGTCTTGCAGGTAGCCCAGACTGGTCTCAAATCCCTGGGCTCAGGCAGTCTTCTTGCCTCCACCTCCCAAAGTGCTGGGATTATAGACATGAGCTACCATACCTGGTCTTTTTTTTTTTTTTTTGAGTTGGAGTCTCTTGTCGCCCAGGGTGGAGTGCAGTGGCACGCTCACGGCCACTGAAGCCTCGACCTGCTGGGCTGAGGCAATCCTTCTGCCTCAACCTTCCAAAGTAGCTGGAACTAAAAACTCATGCCACTAAGCCTGGCTAGTTTTTGTGATTTATTGTAGAGACATGGTCTCACCAAGTTGCCCAGGCTGGTCCTGAACCCCTAGGCTCAGGCAATCCTCTCAGCTTGCCTCCCAAAGTGCTGGGATTAAAGGCTGAGCCACTGCGCCCAGCCCATGCCTGTTCTTAATCTTGCAGGGATCTTGGGTGCTAGTATATGCAGGAGGGTGAGAATGTCAGAGAGATCCTTGGGATTTAGTTATACTTATATCCTAATGGAATTCAGTGCCCTATCACCATTTTAGTCTTAGGGCCTTTTATTAATTTTATATAGGCTGTTTCCATACTTTAAAAAAATTTATCTTAGGCAATATGTTTTTTTTTTTTTTTTTTTTTTTTTTTTTTTAGTTGGACTCTCACCCTATTGCCCAGGCTGGAGTGCAGTGGCATGCTCATGGCCCCCGCAGCTTCGACCTGCTGGGCTCAGGTGATCCTTCCACCTCAGTCTTCCAGGTAGCTGGAACTATAGGCTTACGCCACCATACCTGGCTAGCAATGCACTTTTGAGAAGTAAGAAAATAAATGTAAAGGGGGTATGTGTTACCACAATTCCTAGAAAACACCTACATACTAAGTAAACAAAAACAACAATTTTATTTTTGAATGCTACTGTAATCTGATTTGTTGCTTAACGTGGATAGCAACATGCTTTGTGTGACATCACATATGCCTGATGGCATCTTTGTTAAAGTCCTCCAGCCATTCCCATCATGCCTTTAAACTTTCCCATGTTTTTAAACATGTAGCCCAGGACCCACAAAAACAGACACATGTAACCAAACTGATCTTAAAATTAGGTAAGAAAAATCAACAGTTATTCCTCTCTCTAAAAGTGTACCCCAGTGCAAAACATGCTGGGCTTGGTGGCTTACTCCCGTAATTCCACACCTTGGGAAGCTGAAGCAGGAGGATTACTTGAGTCCAGGAGTTTGAAACCAGTCTGGGCAACATAGCAAGATCTCATTTCTACCAAAAAATCAAAAATTTAGCTGGGCTTGGTGGTGCATGCCTGTAATCTCAATTACTTAGGAGGGTGAGGTGGAAGAATCTCCAGAAACCAGAAAGTTGAGGCTGTGGTGAGCCATGATTATGCCACTGCATTCCAGCCTGGGTGACCCAGAGTGAGACTCTGACTCAAAAGAAAAAAAGGTACCCCAATTCAAAATATATGATGGTTCCCCCAACAAAGGGGGAAGAAAGTTCTTGTCTGTACACACCAGAGCAACTTACCTGATCTAAATACTGTTTTTTTTTTAACACTAAAACAAGCATTGTAGGCTGCTGATGGCATAAGGGATGGTGAAGGGAGGATGTGTGCTACAAAGGAGTTCTCAGCAGTGTCTGGGATGTCCCTGAAATCCTGGCTGTTGGGTCAGGTAGCCACAAGAAGCTGGCGTTTATGAGCAATTGTTGCCCTCCCTGGTAGCGTGTTTGCCCATTTCATGATGGGTGATTTTCTTTCTTTTTCTTTTTGAGTTGAAGTCTCACTCCGTCACCCAGACTGGAGTGCAGTGACCGCTCCCGGCCAACTGCAGCCTCGACCTGCTGGGCTCTGGCGATCCTTCCACCTCAGTCTTCCGAGTAGCCGGAATTACAGGCATGCGCTACCACGCCCGGCTGATTTTTTGACTTATTGTAGAGATGAGGTCTCGCCAAGTTACCCAGATGGGTCTCGAATCCGTGGGCTCAGGCAATCCACTTACCTCAAAGCGCTGGAATTACAGGCTGAGCTACCGAGCCCGGCCGATGGGTAATTTTCAAGTGCACCTTCTCATGCTGCGCTGAATGCCAGCATTTTTGGACCAAAAACGGCATGACCCCCATGTCCCACTCTCTCTGTTCACCAGATCTTATCCTGAATGACTTTTTTTGTTTTCTCCGATGTGAAAAATCCTCAAAGGGAAACATTTCACCAATATGGAAGAGGTGAAACCAAAAACAGCAGAGGCACTAAAAGACACCAAAATTGATGAGTTCAAAATTGTTTTGAGCAGTGGAAAAAGCATCTTGGTAGATGTGTTGAATCAAACAGTACTTTGTTTTTAGTTTTTTGTATTTTTTTGAGTTGGAGTCTCACTCTGTCGTCCAGACTGGAGTGCAGTGGCTGCTCCTGGCCACCGCAGCCTCAACCTGCTGGGCTCCGGCGATCCTTCCACCTCAACCTTCCAAGTAACTGGAACTACATGCGCGCGCTACCTCGCCCGGCTGGTTTTTGCTTTATTGTAGAGATGAGGTCTCGCCAAGTTGCCCAGGTGGGTCTTGAACCCGCGGGCTCAGGCAATCCACTCACCTCAGCCTCCCAAAGTGCTAGGATTACAGGCTGAGCCACCGAGCCCGGCCTCAAACAGTACTTTGAAGGTGAATGAAATTTAAACATGCACACAATTTTTAATAAATTCTGGTATGTTAAATTCTCGTTTGTTAAAATAACATTGATTGGTATTCATTGTTCTTTGTATCACAGGAGCATGAAGATAATGGGTGAGGCAGCTAGTCAGGAACAGATATCTAAACAACTCCCCCCAGATGGAAGGGAGGATTGTCTTCAAGTCCCATGCTCATTTCTCTCTGGGTCTTTTAAAATTTGATTGTCTCACATAGCTCTGGCAGCTCTGAACTATTTTTCTTTTTTAGGACACACAAGGAATGTGTTCTGAAGACTGACTCCTCCTCCCATCCTGCTGCTGCCCTGTGTTTTCCACTCACTCATGTACATCTGCATTAAATAATGATGTGGATATGTCCTTTCTAGGACCAGGGTCCAGGCTCAAGAATTGTACTCACATTGTCTTGGCTGTTTGTGTTCCCCACCAGAAAGCTACATCTAGGCTTCTGGACCACCTGATCATAATCTCATTGGCCTACATGGACACAGGAATGAGCCAGAAGATAACCCTGTCTGGGCCTGTATCTGTAGCACAAACCAGTCTTTGTGCCTGCTTTGCACTGTCCCCACCAATGTGTCCTTTATAACATTCTTCTTTTCCCTTTTACTTTATGTTCAAATTCACACAGGCTACCCAAAACCACCCCACAGCTGCCTGAATCTAATACCAACTGGAATTCAGATGCTCATGAGTTCGAGGTCATTGCCCTAGACCTGACTGATATAACAGCAAATACAAGTTAGAACTATATATGACTTAATCCTCTAACTTGAAAATAAGAGAAGAGATTGTGCTCTTTTCCCTTAAAATGTTTAGTTTATTTTTAAATTTTATTGACTCGAGGTCTTACTATGTCACCCAGACTTGAGTACAATGGCATGATCACAGCTGACTGCAGCCTTAACCTCCTGTGCTGAAGTGACCCTCCTCAACCTCTTAAGTAGCTGGACGACAGATGTGCACTGCCATGTCCAGCTAATTTTTTAAATTTTCTATAGAAATGACATCTCACTATGTTGTCTAGTCTGATCTTGAAATCCAGGGCTAAAGGAGTCCTCCCTCCTTGGCCTCCCAAAGTGCTGAGATTACAAATGTGAGCCACTGTGCCTAATTTAAAGCTTTTAATTTAGCAAACTTTTCTAAGCAAGTTTTTTCTCTGCCTTTAAAAAATATGTTTAAAATTTTTTTTCAGATAAATAGGGTTTTTTATGAAGTCTTTTTGACTCAGATAAATCCTTCAGTAGAACCTGGAAACCATTGCTTTGAAATGTAATTAGCAAAGAAGATAGAACCCTATCCTACAGATTCTGTTGGACAGTGGGAGCCTTCCTGAAGCGTGCACCTGCTCCAACTTGCAAAACTGTCTTTTTTCATGAAGATGTGAGAGGCTTATTTTTTCTTTGTATATATATAGCCAATTAAAGTTTCTTCTGATAGCCACAACACAGATTGCCTTCTCAGTTACCTGGTCAATTTAGGAGGATGCGTCTATGACAAATGGTGTTGCTAAGCTTTCTTTTCTTCAAGTCTTTTGTCTTTCAAATCTCTTAGCAGATTGTGTGGTGCAATTGTGCAGTAGTAACCAAAAAATGGTCACTGAGGCAGGTGTCTCAATCAGTAGAGGTTTGTTGAGCCAAAGTTTGAGAAAACCCCTGGGAAAAACAAGCCACAGAAGCATCTACAACCTGTGCTTCCTAAAGAAGATTTGAGAACTCAGTATTGAAGGGGAGAGAGTGAAAGGGAGGGTAGGCAGTGAGGGAAATGGGAACATTCTTGTGAGTCTCTTAATTAGTGCTCAGTAGGTCTATGGCTTACATAAGGTGAACATTTGAAAACAGGGAATAGAGGAAAGAGTTATGCTTTTGCTTTTGTCTCATGGTATGTGGAGGAGTGACTTCTTGTCCTTTAGTATCTGGGAAGATGAGCTTGCAGTGGACATTTACAGTGTTATATTTAACAGAACACAGTTTAGGGAGTTAGATTACAGACTTAAGGTTATGACTGGCACAAGTGTTTTTTTTATTTTTTTTATTTTTTAAGTAGGGGGACTTGTATCCTGAAAGATTTAGGGGCCAGCAAGAAATTTTGTTGGGAGTATTGGGGGAGGTGTTGACAATCATGAGGGAAATGAGGCCCTGAGACAGCGTTGTGAAATTACAGCTCTCTATTAAAAGGATGACTACATTGCATGCCTTGGTTCCCATGCTTAATTCTGCTCTAGACATAAGGAGTTTGGGGTCCTGAGATTTTATTTTACATGAATAATTTTTTCTTTTTACCATTGTGGAGAGTTTTTCTGGGGTTAGAGATGATTTTTTTTTTTTTGAGTCTAAGTCTCACTGTTACCCAGTCTGATGTGCAGTGGCATGGTCACAGCTTACCATGGCTTCGAACTCCTGGGCTCAGGCAGTCGTTCCTTCTCAGCCTCCCAAGTAGCTGAGACAATAGGCATGCCACTGTGCCCAGCTAATTTTTTGATTTTTTTGTAAAGGCATGGTCTTACTGTGTTGCCCAGTATGGTTTGAAACTTTAGAGGTGAAGCATTCCTCCCTCCTCTGCTTCTTAAATTGCTGGGATTACAGGTGTAAGCCACCACGCTTGGACTGATTTTGTTTTTAATTATAATTTCAAACACCATCCAGAATTACCAGACAGGATTCAAACTTATAAGGTACCCACCAAGCTTCCCTATAGGGGAGAATTTTCCTCTTGGGCTTCCAGTCACAAGCCACAATCATGCAGAAATTGCATACTGTCTCCAAGTCTGCAGGCAGAATGGTTTCTCTGCCTATTTGGGATCTGCAGTCCCTTCTGAAGTACCTGGACCAGATTTCTACAAAAATAACTGTTCAGGACAGCCATCAACCACTTCAAGTCTGTTTTTTGATGTCCCTGGTATCTTCAGACCTGAGATTTAGAGACCTTGGTGCCTTGAAATCCAGCCAGGCTCACGTATACGTCTGGAGAATACCTACTTCCCCCTCCTTCTCTTGTCCAAATGCCTACAAATGTGCAGAGGGTGTCTGCTGCCCCTCCACAATCTAAGTCTTACTCCAAATTCAGAATCCAGGTCCTGGATTCTTCAGGATGTGTTAGAGCAGCCCTCATGAGGGGATCTTTTCTCTAGTGTTTCTGTCTTCCCTATAACTCCCAAGAATGTAGAACCAACCAGGTTGATCTCACTTAGAATCTGCACATAAGGGCTGGTCTCTACATGGAATTCACAAGACAGGGCCAGACTTTGGACTGAGGAAATGCAGAAAACTCAGGGGAGACATGTTCTGCATTGTGAGAGGCCCAACATATGCTTTGAAAAGCCTACTTTGTGAGTGGAGTTCTCTGAGATTTGCAGATCTTGTCCAGTGACCTGCGGTAGCAATATGAGGGGTTCCTAGTGTAAACAGAATCTGGTGTAGAATCTGTAAGTATAAACAAGTACCTCAGCAGTGGGAGGTCATGGCCACAAAATATCTAGAGCCCTGACCACAGCTATATCTGCCTGTAAGCCGTGCTCCTGGTATAGTAAGACATTCATATTCTTTCTCATAACCCAAGAATCATTTGACTGGGGACAGGTAATATCACATGAAGATGCAGGATTGGGGGCTCTACCAGGGCACTTCTATTTTCTATCTGTCCCAACAGTCAGATTTAGTCTCTTTTGCCTGGATCACCATGGAAGTATCAGCACAGACCCACTGGGGACCCTCTCACCCACACCTGGGAGTCTTTGAGACATTTGGGGTGTCTTGGGATCAGGTTAACAAGAGCATCTAATGCTCCTTCCATCTCAGGGAGAGAAATTAGTCATCCAAAGCTTGCTAATTTACCTCACAGAAGAAGTCTTCTTATTTGGTACCCACATGGGAATTTCTTTAGGTTTCTGGTACTTTGGCAAAAGACAAGGAAGAGGTCCAGAGATACAAATAAATAGATAAACCAACTGATTTTATTTTGTATAACCATTAGGAAAACAGATAAAGCAGTCATGGCTCCTACTGTCCAGGAACTTTTAGTCCAGGACAAATGGATAGATGGTTGAAGTCAGCATCATGTGGTCAGTACAAAGAAGAGAGGTGTCCAGGGCACTTGGGCCTTATTTGAAAGGTCACTTATGTGAGTTCTGATGTCACCACTGATGTGAGTTCTGAAGGGCCATTCATGGACAGAAGTGTTGTTATTGTGAGTATAATTTCTTTTGCTTTTACCATGTAAAAATAAATACCTATTATTAGAGTGGGCCTGGAATGCTAAGTGATTTACATGCATATTGAACTCAAGAGGCAATGCTTAGCGAAGTGGCTCTTAGCCAAGGCTTCCAATCAGGATCACATGGCCAGTTGGAAGAAATCCTATAACCTGTATCCTCTCATATATATGTATATATATTTATTCATTTAATTTTATTTTTTTGAGTCGAAATCTCACTGTGTTACCTAGGCTAGAGTGCAGTGGCATGTTCATGGCCACTGCAGCCTCGACCTGCTGGACTCAGGCGATCCTTCTGCCTCAGCCTTTCAAGAAGCTGGAACTAGAGGCACGTGCCACCATACCTGGCTAATTTTTTTATTTATTGTAGAGACGAATCTCACCAAGTTGCCCGGGCTGGTCTCGAACCCGTGGGCTCAGGCAGTCTACTCCCCTTGACCTCTCAAAGTGCTGAGATTACAGACTAAGCCATGGAGCCAGACCTTTTTTTTTTTAATGAGTAGATTCTGATTTCCTTTTCTCCCCTGCTAGCATTACTGCAGTGATTGTGTATTGACACCTGATACCACTTTGTTACATTATATGGTTGTAGGTATTTGGGTTTATTTCTGGATTCTCTATTCTGTTCCATGGTAGCTGATGAAACCTTTATATACCTAGCTAAGGTGCTTGCTTCAGATTTTTTTTTTTGAGTTGGAGTCTCGCTCTGTCACCCAGACTGGAGTGCAGTGGCTGCTCCTGGCCACCACAGCCTCGACCTGCTGGGCTCTGGCAATCCTTCTGCCTCAGCCTTCCAAGTAGCTGGAACTACAGGCGCGCGCTACCACGCCCGGCTAATCTTTGATTTATTGTAGAGATGAGGTCTCGCCAAGTTGCCCAGGCGGGCCTTGAACCTGCGGGCTCAGGCAATCCACTCACCTCAGCCTCCCAAGGCGTGGGATTACAGGCTGAGCCACCGAGCCCGGCCTGCTTCAGGTTTTTAAAAAATTTTTTTACTATAAAGTTAACTATTTTTCTCTTTCATTAAGGTGTATTGTGAGGGGATTTACAGAACTGTGTGCATAAACCATCACATTTAATCCAGAAACTCCTCTTTCTCTTTAGCTTCTCTTTACTTATAGCTTGCTTTGGAGAATAAAAGCTCTCACATTTGTTGACTGGAGATAATGGCTTTTGGAATTGCAAGTTCTGAGACAGACTTTAGTCCCATAGGTTTCCATTTTATTCCACTCTCATGTCACAGATACAGTTCTCTTTATTTCCTCTTTGTGTTCTCTCTTTGAGAAAGTGAAGAAGAATTAACATAATTAA